GGGGGGCGGCTGGACGGCCCGTCCCCGCCAGATACCGTCAGAATGGGAGCCTCTGCAGGAGTGGCGCCATAGCACGGCCCATTGGCCATTCCGGGCTGGCTGTCGTCGCTTGTTGTGGTCAGTTGTCATCCGCGGAGACGCTGGGGCGGGGCAGGGGCGCGTGGCGACCGGACGCCGGCGGGAGAGGCAAAAGACCGATGGCCGGCGCTCCCATCTGCCTACGCGGCACGGCACTCGGTGCCAATGAGCCGAGGTCAGGAGACCGGTCGCCAAGCGGCGGTCTCCCGCTGGCGGTGGTCCGCGGCGGCCGGATCGGCCCGCCCTCCGCCCTTCAACAAGGCACCGTCGGCTGTTCCCCGGACGATCGCAGAGCGACCGGCTAGGCCATGGCCATTCGTCACCCGGCAGTCCAACAAAAAGCGAAACGGAGCTAAAACGAAGCCAACGCGGATCAGTCGGGGCATCACGGTCGCGCCGGCCGGCGCGTCACTCCGGAGGCGGTCGATCCTTGGGGAGAACAGGGAGGGGCGAGGGAGGAGTCACCAGGCGACGTCAGCAGTGCGTCAAACCACGAGTCTGTCCGCCCGCTCTGTTGTCTTTTCAGACTACTGCAGGCCTTCGACAACAACCGGCAGAGAAGCAGGCTCCAGTTAAGCCCCGCAGTAGACGACGATCGGCTGTGGACGAAGGACAGCGCACGGACGAGTGAGGACTGGAGAGACGAGACGGAGGCGGTAATGGTTAGTGCCGCTCAGCAAGAACAGTTAAGCTTCATCTGGGTTCCGCTACGCTCACAGCAGATGACGGAAATGTTTAATGCTATGCGATAAAGTTCTATCAATTCGCTGGTTTATAAAGCAGCTGCAACAATACCGGGGCACGATTTTGTCGTTCTTGTTTCAAGTTTATTTGTCCCAATTTCTTTCATCCAGCAGAGCTCACCGAATGAACAATTTTATTGAAGGGAGATCTCCGCGAACCGGCTGTTTTGTCGAGGGGAGGCCACCCGATTAACTGCTCTATTGAGATCTCACTAGGACGGTGGTCCAGGAAGTTACACACGCAGCTAGCCAAGTTCCACCGCTCAACCGACTCAATAGACTCCTGATTTGAGGAGACATTCCCTGGGGAACGACAATCTACTGCTGACACAGCATTTCTGCGAGCTCTCCATAACAGCACGACACAAAGCGGATTCACATAATGTAACGGAATTCCGCGCAAAACGGCCTTGACCTGGACAATATAATCTTCAGATCAAACTAACTATTCTACGAAGGTAACAAGAAAATAAACCGCTACAACAACGTGATGGCTGATCATGATTTGAGTTTAGGGGTATGGTAAATTGCCGGTATTATTGTCTTACAGTTGCAGCTATTAAATAATATTACCAAAAAACCGCAGATGAATATTAGACAATATATGATATCCAATTCAATGCTACTCGCAGATCACTTGATATTAATTTATGGGCCAATCTACCTCAAATCAAATGAGATTGAATAGGGCTACTCAATCGGTGGGATAAACCAAATTATTTCCAACTCCTGCTAATAGCAAATCGCATAGGCATGACAATCGCCCAGGACCACCGAAATCCTATCACACAGAGTAGTTTAAAATAGCGAAGTCTCCTAATAAAGCATCGGGCTGCTCTGATGATCAAACAAAATCAGTCTCTCTGTTAGGGCTGCAAATGGCGCTGAGCACTGAAGGCGGTGTCATCATCCCAGTTCAAATGTTTTGCTCCTCGGCGTTGTGCCGTCAGGTTTCCGAGGTCATTTCTGATTCGGTTCCGGCGTTTGATCTGGAATTCTCCGCCGGCGTGCCGGACCAACACGGCCTGTGTGTCAGACGACACGCTAAACTAAGAGCCCGCCTCAGAATAGTAGACGGGGAGATGCACAGCGGCTCAGCGGCCAGGTTTGAGACGAGGCAGAGACCAAAGCGTTAGGGTAGAGACCAAAGATGGCTGAGATAAATAGCGCAGCCAAATGAAAGCTCAGCTGCAGTCTGCTGAGTAGAAAACGGCTGAGCTGAGCATCAACTGAGATGCAAAAAAAATCACAGAGAGAAGCAATGTATAATGACCGATGAGTCATGAACGAGAGGCGGGCTGAGCCTGAAACGAGGGACGGGACGGGACGTCTGACGTTCTCCGAGTGAATCTCAGTAGAGGTCAGATGACGTCCGAGACGCAGCCAGAAGAGCTGACTGAGCCACAGCTGAGAGATATGGGGCAGCAAGATCACAAAGGCGAGACAACTAATAGTTGAGCCACATATCAGATACCCGCCAGAGCGCGCTGTGATATCGCAAACAGCCCCGGGAAGAGATACGATGGCCAGGACGCCTGGGAGAAATCGGAACAATAGCCACACAAACCATTGGCATGACAAAGTATTTTTTCCACCCCCACGAAATTATTACGCCAAGGATAGTAATCAATTCACGGAGCACGCCATAAAATTTGAAAAGGCAAGCAATGAAAGGCTTCTTATTTAACAGTTGCGAATAACAGCCTCAAACTTTTCCCATAGTTACATCAGCATACGGTTCTGCCGATCGAATCGTGTTTAGAGAGACTACAGCCTCAGCACCGGAAACAAGCTTTTAAAGTGCACTTCTTACGCTGATTACGTTTCAAAGTAAAGTTAGACCTAATAGCAACTAGCATGTAATATTAGGCTGTCTGACATCGCAACATGATCCCTCTGTTCACAAAATATCAGCAAAACGGTACAGCTCATGTTTCAATGAGGACTGACAAAATAGACCGGGTTCGGAGGGGTGTTCACGGGCACCGCACACTGCTGCGTGCGCTGTGTGCGGTGCGTCCAGCAGGCGTGGGGGTAGGGGATGGGTAGGCGGTTCTGACGTCACGGCTGCGTGCGGTGGACGGTCCGCTGTGGCCAGTCCCGACCGGCCACAGCGATCGCTGTGTGCGGTGACGGAAGGCTGACGTAGGGACGCAGTGGGCGGAGCTTGGAGGCTGTGTGCGGTCCGACCGCACACAGGGCCCGTGAACAGCCCTCAGGTTTCTCAGTAAAATCAACTTGCCTAATCAGCTTTAGGTCAGTATTTTCAGTGTAACTTGACGACCCAGCAACGCTTACACAACCGGTTGGGGCTGACGAGACGCAATGGCCTCAGGTCAGTTGTGCTAATGAAACCTGACAGGACAGCCGGGCGTTGAGTCAGTGAAGCCCTAGCGTGACCTTTCTGCGACTGTCTCCCCGTACTGTGGCGCCAGAAGCCCCATATCGGCGCACCGAGACGCAATCGGTGACAGTAGGGACCGGACCGGACCAGGCCTCATCAGAGAGGAGCAGACCTGACCGGACCAGACCTCATCCGACCGGGTCGGAACGAACCAGACCAAACCCAACTGGACCAGAATCACAAATGCCGTCTCCGAATAGCATAGTTCATTTAAATGAATATGACGATGGAGTTCAAATAACTCAAAATGAAAAAGCGCTTTTCACCAAAACGTTAAATGATCTGTCCAAAAATGCACAACTGGATTCAACTTCATCTCATCAAATCATGCCCAATCCGATCTGCCTAAGGGTGTGCGCATCGCGCAGTGCATCGTGCTCATATCCACTGCATCGTGCTCATATCCACGCAGCCCGCTACCATTCCCTCCATGCCCCTCTCGTGAGCTCTCCGGTCGTTACGTTCCTCAACAGTGGCGGATCACGCTACCACCGACTCGGACCGTCACCTTCCACTCGACCACAGCCAGCCTGTGCCAGTGCCGGCCGGATCCCGGAGGACGGGACGGTGATCAGGGGACGGCGGGTCGGCACGCCACACCCGGCCGCTGACCCGGTAGCGCTCTACATGGGTCGCGGATACATTGAAGGGAGTGTGATCAGCGCGTGACTGTTTTTTTTTTAGACTGTTTTTCCGCAATGCCAGAGTGTTACCGGGCACGGTGACCGCATTCTGTCCAGTCAGTGAGCAATCACGTCAAGCGGGACGTGGGTTACCGAACACCAGCCGTGGAATGGTCAGGAAGTCATTATCGGCACGCGGGCACGTCCCATGGCCGACAGCCCGGGGTCTGGGACGCGGTATGTCGTTCCTCTCTCCCCTACATAAATAGAAAAACACAATTCTAACGAATAGTGTTTGTCTATTTCAAACAACCTGCGGTTAAATGTACACCTACAAACGTACTCCCCAGCATTTCCAGTGCATGGGACGAACGCACAGATGTCAGCCATGGAGCTGTGTGTCTATATTTATCGATATTTTTATCAATACATTCGACGTCACATATGTAGCGATTAGAAATTGCCTCCATTAGTGATGCTCCAATCATCAGGCAGGTGATTACACGCTAAAAGTCCTATATTTGGTGCCGCTGCCTCGGTAACTCGTAGCACGCAGTTCGACATAAGCTGACGCGTGATTTCGCCCTCGGATAACCGCGGAGATGGCCGTCCAATCAGCAGGCGGCAATCATGGCGACCGGCAGCTAATGACCGCATTCACCGGGGAGCCGCGCGGGCCGGCCGCAGGTCGGAGAGGAGGGAGTCAGCGCGGCGCTGGACGAACAGACGAGCCAAGAGACACATGGACCGACCACCGGCCGCTGTCTGCTGAACTGGCTCTCCCGAGCGGCCCCTGGCCAAATGACGCTTTGACCCGAAACGACATCGCACACACCTACGACCTATGTGGGGTCAAAAGTGGCTCGTATGTCTGAGCTTAGAATTTTCGTTATGTTGGATAATTTGTAACTGCAACTTATTCTTTTCCGTGATCGAATTTATCTGAATACCTGCACCAGTCCAAATGACCATCTCTGACCCGGATGGAATTTTCCCAGTGACCTGACCCACCCTGTGATCCTAAGCCCCATAGCCCTGACTGAACCGATGGGCCCTGTGCCCAGTGACCTGGCCCACGCGACCCGTTCGCTCGACTGACCCGGCCGACGCCTGCACCCCGTGGCCGACTGACGCGTCCCCCGACCGACTGACCTGCCCCGTCGGCGCCGAGTGGGCGGCTCCAGAGCGTGAAGGTAGTCGGGCCGGGACCGTTTGGCCGGCCCGAGTCGCTCCCGCAGCAGGGCCGGTCCCGTCTCACCCGGCGGCAGATCCACCGACCTGCCGGACAGCACGGGCGCGGATGGTGAGAGATGCAGACACAGACAGACGGATATAGCGGACAGACAGACAGACAGACAGACAGACAGACAGACAGACAGACAGACAGACAGACAACAGTGAACAGACACACGGGCACGGATGGTTAGAGATACAGACACGGACAGACAGAAAACTGACAAACAACAGACACGCGGGCACGGATGGTGAGACATGGACGGATACAGACAGACAGACGGCAGACAGACGACAGACAGACATACAGACAGACAACAGAGTACACACAGACAGACAACAGACACACGGACACGGATGGCGAGACATGCAGACACAGACAGACGGACATAAACGGACAGACAGACAGACATACTTCGGACAGACAACAGGCACAAAGGCACGGATGGCCAGAAGGACGGACATACACGGACAGACAGGCAGACAGGCACGGACTGCGGGAGTTCTTATCAGACACGGGAACACTACGTCGCAGACACAGACAGACAAGCAGACAGACATACCGACAGACAGACAGGTAGACTAATGGTTTCAGATATGGCCCATTGATTTACTAAAGCTGACTATGGATGATGCTCTTCATTACAGCAGCGCTGTCGTTCTGGTAAAAAATTACTCCGGGTATTAGCAATCCACGGCATGCAAGTGGCATGAGAAGTGCATTATCTCATAAAAAGTATGCCTACCGGACGCTGTTGACCTGACAGTCTGCCGCGCAGTAGCTAATGGGTACTAGCCTAATACCCTGCTGGGCAGTAGGTACCGAATAGTGAGTACTGGTCTGCTGTTCTGGCGGGCAGTGCACACTGAATACTGACCTGCTATCCTGTTGGGTACAGGGTACTGAATGATACCTACTGACCTATTGTTCTGCTGGGCAGTGTGTAGTGAGTACTGCGTACTGCCTTGCTATCCGGTCGGGTACGGAGTACTGACCTGCTGTTTTGCTGGGCGGAGGGTACTGAACAGTGACCACTGACCTGCTGTTTTGCTGGGCGGAGGATACTGAACAGTGACCACTGACCTGTTGTTTTGCTGTGCGAAGGGTACTGAACCATGAACACTGACCTGCTGTTTTGCTGGGCGAGTCGCAGCGTAGTCCGACACCGGTGCGGGCACGCGTCCGCCGGGTGCCGGGTGGGGGCCACCAGCGCGGGACAGCACTGCAGCCGCGCGAACAGGCCGGCGCAGAATTCCTCCATCTGGTGTCGGCTCAGCGGCAGCTCCATCACACCGCCGAAGATGGTGTTGTTCACTCTGGATAGGGAGGCACGAGGGTCAGTGGAGGGGCGACGGGTGGTCTGGGTCCAGTGGGGCATGATTGGGGAGGGGGGGGGGGGGCAGGGCAACGCGGCATGTGGGGAATGATACGGTATTGTGAGCCAGCTGAGGCAAATAGTACCCAAAATACGAGTAGGTACAGCCAACGTAAATACCTTGCTAAACAAAGATTCGATTTTTTTTCAACTAAACGCGCCTTTATTGATAATTACATCCTTTTACAAATGCAACTAGAATCACTCCCTTTACTAATGTAGATCCCTTGACAAATATACTACAGTACATTTGGCACTCGCTACAGAAGGCACTCGGGCACTCGTAGCAACTCAATAACAACAAATATATGGCTAGACGAGGATATCAGCAGCAGAGACAATTTGCGAAAGAAATGCAATTAACGTTATGTTGACTTACAGCATGAGTGCGAAAGAAATTTATTATTCAATATGTGCAGCGACCTGTGTAAATAGCGACCGAGTTTCGGGATACTTTAACCGACTCCAGTTTGATTATAATGAATGGTTCATACAAGATTCAATAATGGCCATAAACTTCAAAGGATTGAGAGCGCGCCTGGGTGCCTCCATTAACACTAGCGCGTAAGTGAAAATAAAATTGCTTATCAATAAGATTGCACAGTACCTAAACCAATTTCCCTTTACAGCGACTTATGCAAAACGCTGAGCGATATCATTTACCGCACCACCTGACACGCCAGCTGAAATGTGTGGTGCCGCTGCCCCATCCAAACAGCCCATGACCGATCATCCAGGTGTGGTGAGGAGTTGGTCAGACCAATATCACTTCGGTCAAACGGCCACGGGTTCGGAGGCCGGGGCCGTTTCGGTCCAACGCCCCACTCGGCTGATTTCGGAGCTGCCTCGTTCCCAAACGTGTCGTTTGCTACACATGCAAATGAAGGTCAGAGCGGACGGGTCATACTGTATAGAGGATCGGAGAGTGGTCCTGAGGGCTACACCAGCTCTCTCCTGAACCTGCATAGACATAAGTCATAGCCAATAGCTATGGCACCGTGAACGGGTCCATAAACGGGGAACGACGAAACATGCGTGTCAAGGGAGGCAGTAAATCCCAATAAAATGCGTGAATGTGTTATCATGATGCAAAATATGCGATGTATGCGGGCGATTCTTTGACTGGTTCTAACTTCCAACGAAGTGTTCATGGCAATGGAGGCACCATAGCTGCCATATGAATCTAGCACACAGTTCAGTTTGAATGGGCCATGATACTGCCGCGGTTTCATGTTCGCAATTGTTGCAAATTCGTATTACGACATTCAGATGCACTAACTTCGTTGGGAACGCATCGACCAATTCCATGCAGCAAAGCGCATTGACGAATGCGCTTGAAAACAAGCGCTTAAACACACAGAATCGGTGTATGTGGACGGCTCGACAATTCTTTGAAAGTGGGTACTTGGAAACTATTGGTGTCTGGAATATTGGTGTCTGTATTGGTCTCTGGAATACGATTTAAGGATCGTGGATGTGGCAAAACAATGCCGAGCAAAACAGGGCTTTAGAGTTAACACTTCAAGTAAGTGTATCGTGCTATGTTCTATCCTGAAATCAGCACCCACTCAACAAACGTAATAACTCTTCATACGGCGCAGTTTAAGGGAATTTAGTTAACTTATCCTTAAAGGTAGTGTGCCAGCTTTCCTGGACCGTATGGAGTTAATGGCCCAGATAAGGAGAACCGGATTTTTAGAACTTATCCATACCTTCAAAACTCATGGAAACGTCTTAAATTCTTCAAATTTTGAGTACCCCAGTGCGAAATTCGCCCCGACGGGTTGTCGGGCGTACCCCAACCACATTTCACACCACTATGAACAATAAATGCACACACTGAAATCGCTATTACCGATATGCTCATCCAATCAAGTTTCGATAAACCCGTTCATCATCATCTCTTGCGGTTTCGAACACGCCTGTTAGGTGGTGCGGTAGACCGCACCCAAAGCCAAGGCCCCGGTAACGTGAGGTAGCCGAGTCGGGGCAGCGTGCGCTGACCCAAGCCGGGGCCGCGCGTCCTCCCGGTGTCATGTGATAGCCCGGGGCTGCCCGCGGGGATGCGGTAGACCGCGCCCAAAGCTGCGGCCCCGGTTTGGGTCAGCGCACGCTGCCCCGACTCAGCTACCTCACGTTACCGGGGCCCTGGCTTTGGGCGCGGCTTCTGCTCATACTTTGTGGTGCGGTGGTGGTGCGTCGGGCCGCGCGCTCTGACTTCGGCCAAGAAAAATGCGTCAGCTGATCATTGTCATTTCTGCCACTTACGCGTGGTGAAATGGGGTCATAACTTAAGAGACGGTGAGTTTTCCATATAAATTATTTTACATAAAATCATATTTCAAACCATAAATAATGTTCGACAGCCGAATAAAAGAAACAATACCAATACAGGCTTACAGTTTAAGGCTCGACATTGTGTTGTCTACGATTAGACAGCTGATAACTCATTCCCGTACGTCGTAACTCTATAATGACCTTTGCTTATTGTCACATGTGCGCCGCATTCGCGATTGTTGTCGACGCCTGTTTGCAGGTCAGCCCACTACAGTTGTTATGCATATCGAAAAACCGATAAACTTTTAGGCGAAAAAGGCACTATTCCAGGCCCATTTTTGATTTTTTTGCGATATTAGGTAAAAACAGAAGTTTCTTACCCTAGGAAAAATAAAATGGGAAATCTTTCAAAGGTGGCACACTACCTTTAAATGTAATTAAGGAGTAGGTATCGATTCAGCGATGCAATAAGCACTACGCGGCCATGTTTGTATCATATAGAGGAATGATACTAATGAAATGAAAACGTGAATCAGCAAGTCAGCTTCGGAAGCTACGTTGAAGACAAAAAGTGTATGAGCTTTCTAAAATCAATGCATGATATTCATATAAACAGCAAGCATAACAAAAAAGAGATAGGTACAGCGTTGTTCCACCCGAGATTACTTGACTACTCTTCCACCCACATTGAAAAAAATAGGACCGTAGAATATGAAATTGCAATCTGCCGTCTCACAGCACAGCATATACGAGCAGCATGCCGCGTTGCGCGCGATTTAGGTGATGAGATTCGGAGAGATGCTGATCGCTGGGGGCCGTCTGAGGATGGGAGAGCGCTGAAAGATGCGACGCCAGCGCCGCACGGAGGGCCGCCAGAGCTCTCATCTCCGGCGCCGCGCGACCCGAATACCGTGAAAATGTTTACCTTCTCGTAAACAGGAATAGAAATGCTGGGGAACGTCCGAAAGCTCGTCTTATAATGGCACTTGGCAGGTACAGTGCCTACGGCTATTCTACGGCAGTAAAGTGCTTGCAGCAGTTCTCACATAAGTATCGTGATCGGCGGACAGTCAGGTGTTTTACTTCTTTGAGTCTAAACTCTTGATTTGACTAAAAAGGCCGGGATAGCTAGAACGCAGCCTCAGATGACATCAAAGGCCACGATAATAGGAAAAATGGCTGCCAGCTGACGCAGTTACCGCGGCCTGCGGAGAAATACGCCCCAACTTCTCCGTCCACAGCACCGCAGATGGCCTATTACACAAGCGACTTCCAAACAACCCCTGAGCTCGCCAGCAACAGACTCTAAAAATATGTCTCATAAAAGGCGGAGCAACAACAAAGTCATCATAGAAGGATGATCCTCTGTTTAGGAGACGACCAACATACGACGATGTCGACATTTCTTTTGGTCCTGTTGACAGGCGACATCTCAATCCATACTGCAGGAGTACGTCAGGTCACTAGGTACATAAAATTTTGGTTTAATGTATCTATATACTGCAAGCGACCACTCAGATACACCTTCACACTCTGAATTGAAACTCTTCACCACTACAGGACTTCAGGAGAAGGCAGAAGCCGCGTCCACCGTTCCATGCGCAGTGATAGCTGTTGACGTGAACAGGGTTACCGTCGCTATAGACAATGTTCGGAATCCGCCGCGCTGTTTCGGAAGAGTACATACGACTGGTCGAGCCGCTCTACTGAGTACTGACCTCACCATGGCGCGGTGGATGTCGATTGGGACGGTGGGCGAAGGCCCCTGCAGTTTATATATCGCGCGGTACGGCCCCGCAGTGGCCGGCGGGGTATACCGGGGAGAGGCACGGAGCCGAAGCGGGCGGGTTAGGAACAGACCTCAACTGGGAGTCCCTGGAGAGACTGACTGGCGCCGCGCCATCGCCGGCAGACACACAGTCCGCTAACGGCACTAACGGTGTTTGCCGACCGAGACAGCGCGCGCCCAAATACGGCCAGCCAGGGAATACCCGACCCCGAAGTCATGCAGGCCAGAGTAAATACCAACCCCGGCCCGACACCATACCAATCAGGGTAACAACTTTTTTTTATAAATTTAGTCCGAACCTTTTGATGGGAAGGATTCACAAGGACAGAGCCACCGCTAAGCGAAGCTTGTTGCGATGACCCTGCCCTCTACCCTCCGATCGCGCAATTCCGATTCTATGGCAGAATTTAGAGGCCAAAGTTTTACGTGCGCACAAAGCCGCGCACGGCCGGTCCCCTCGCTGACTTCGCCTGGCTACGGCCTGCCACCAACCGCAACCAGGAGGCCCATAAATGTCGAGCGCCCGTCGCGCTTCGAACCCGGAGTGTCATAACCGGGAACGCGTGCTCTCACCACGCGGAGTCCAACGCTCTAACAAACTGAGCTACGGGACCGGCCAAAGCTACGGGACCGGCCAAACAACGCACTGGAGCTGGCCGGATGCACTCATACAGCACATCATACCAGCAAGGGGAGTATCTGACTGGAGCGATCACCCGACTGGAGCTGACAGTACACAAAAAGATGGCACGACCCGCCAGCCAGAATATCTGACATCACATCAGCCACTGTTGAAACACACCGTGCCAGCAAACGTCAGCCGTGTCTTACTACCCTACCCAGGTGTCTTACTTATTCAACTACAGTCTGAGTGAATAGGCCGGAACGGCACGTCGCGGGCATAGGAAAACGGATACAAGCGTCCTGCGAGACTGACGACTGACGAGTCAGTGGTCCCAGTATTCTACCAACGCCGACACAAATTGCGTTCGGGGAAGAGAGCCTGCTAATATGTGATGAGATATATGCGATGCCATTTCGCCAGAATCACATATTACGTTTTAGTAAAAAATATTACGCGTTGAGAGGACAAATATGGACAATGAACATCCATTAAGATGGAAGATAAAGTGGGTGATGAGTGCGCTTTGCCTAAAGGTTGAAGGTTCGGGCTCCTTTTAGAAACGCAACAAGCTAACGATGAGTGCTTGTTTTGATGTAGTAAACACGTATCAATGGAATAATAAGGCATAAAAATAGAATACAACGTTCTACAAGCTAGTTATTTTCCTCATCTCTAGCCGCCAAAGATGAGGAACGTTACGCAATCAAGCACTGCACAGTCGGCAAGAAGCGCTGCCATACGGCAGGCAGCGAGCAGCAGGTTATTGAAAGTGCACAAGCGTGCTTCAGCAATGAAGTGCGATTCAGGACGTCCCGTCGAGTCAAATGACAATACGCGGCCCAATAACGAGGGCCGGTAAAACCGTGTAACGATCAATCTACACGGCACAGGGAATCAACTATCAGCAACAGTACCCCGCTAGTTACAACCTCGCCAGCGTTACAGCGCGAAATCAGACAGACACACACCGATAGCTGTCGGATCCCGCGGCCGCGCCTGCCTTACGCCAGTGATGCATGGTTGAGCTCAGTACCCGGGGTGCCGCCCGATTAGCGGTCGCCCCGGGCCCGCTCGTTTGTACCGACACTGGGGGGTCAGTCTGCCCGGCGCGCCAGACTGACAGCGAGCAGCGGCTTACTTGGCTTTAATGAGGTCGTTGGTCCAGCCGGGACGCGCGGGGCCGGTGGACTGGAGCAGTTTGAGCACACGGCTCTCCTGGTAGCCGGCCCATACCAGCCGCGTGAGCAGGTCACGGGCCACCAGCCGCACCGGCCCGGCTCCGACCACCTGCCGGAGCAGACACACGGGTCACACCGGGGGTCAAACCTGGCGCAGACACGGGTCAAATTTGGCGCAGACACACGGGTCACATCTGGCGCACACACGCGGGTCAAACCTGGCGCATACATATGCATCAAAACTGGCACAGACACAAGGGTCAAACCTGCCGCAGACACACATGGGTCAAACCTGGCGCACACGGCGGTCAGTGACGGCACATGGGCTACCTGCATCCCGGTAAAGGTACACAAATGGTTGCGTGAGGTCGCGGATCACACCAGCGATCCGCCTGGCAGCCGGTTCACAGATTTCATCCGCATCGTAAGTTGGAACCGCTGCCAACTTGACAAAGGGACTGTTCTCCCGGGCCAAATGTAACCTTTTCTCGACTGTTGCAACTTCGCTTTACATAGATTGTTATTCGGGCCAAGTGGTATGCTTCTATACATTACAGCCTCAAACTATCTGCCACTAATGTTGAGTATCCATGACAGGTTGGATGATGATGTAAATAATAAACCAAATGCATTTGTAATAATTTGGTTTATTATTTACATCATTATCTGCCACTAAGTTCTGAGACGGGTGTTTTATTCGCTACACGCCGTTGAGGACAACAGCACACTAATATTGCGACACATGTTGAATGTGGGAGAGAGGGAGAAAGGGGGAAGGGGTGGACGGAGAGGAAAAGGGAGAGAGGAAGAGGGAAAGGGAGGGAGAGGAGGGAGGCAGGAAGAGGGAGAAAGAGCGAGAAAGAGAGAATGTGGGAGACGGACGGAGAGGGATTGAAAGAGAAAGAGAGGAGAGAAGCGGGAGAGAGAGAGAGAGAGAGTAAGAGAGAGAGAGAGAGAGAGAGAGAGAGAGAGAGAGAGAGAGAGAGAGAGAGAGAGAGAGAGAGAGAGAGAGAGAGAGAGAGAGAGAGAGCACGCACACTAATGAGACAAAAGAGACATCTTGTTTACGGTTGACTAGAGTTAATCAGATTCCGTCCGACGCGGGGCCACGGCGACAGAAATATCGCTGAGTCAGGGCAATTACGGCATTTTTGAACTGCGTCGAACAACCAGCACCTTTCTTGTAGAGATGTAAAAACCAAACTGCATTGTGATTGATAATCTCTAGTGTGCTGTGTTAATTGACTCGTTATCGTTGTTCGCGTTACATCTTTTGCCTCTTACAGTATTGACTTTAAGGTTTTGTATCGAATTGCATTCATATGTGAATGCGATCGTTTATTTGTGTGATAAAAAGATTAAAACACGTTACAGAGGGCACATAAACAATACGTATCGTGGATGTTTGGCTTGTTTAGCATCAAATCTTTGAACTCAATCTGAAACATCATCGCATCCTTTTAAAAAGAAAAGTTTCAATACAACTACTTCAGCATTTAATTGAAGAGCGAATGAGTCGAGAGAAATTCGGTGGGATTAGAACTGGCCCAAGAAGACTTTCAAGAAACACAATGCATCATTATCTGCTCATAAAAAAAAAATCAAATAACATGGAGAACTCTTGAAAGCTCGTCACTGCACGCCTCCCTGAAGTGTAGCCCGGCCCAGCTAGAGTCGCTGCACGCCTCCCCTAGTGGATTGCTCAGCTGTCGCACGAACAGCCCGTTCTCTGCGACAGGCTGTCCGGCACAGGCAGGCTGCAGCTAGTGGCTGCGTGACTATGACACGGGAAAGGCAGAATAGAGTCTCCGCGGCGCCTCAAAGACGCGGGCATCTGACATGATAGAGCACATCTCAGAGCCCAGGAAGGCAGCCCTCAGCCGCTGAAAGGCACTTCAGAACAGTGTCAACTAGCGACGAGTGGGGGTAACCATTGTTAAAACGCCGGGCCCTTCAGGGAAGAAGGCGTGCCAACGCTCTTTCAAACTCCACTTCCATAGGCCACGTAGGAACATTTGACGTCTAGACCAGCACATTTTAGAAACACGCCAGTTTCATCATGGTGATGACACAGAAAAAGCTACTAGAATAACAAATTCGAGCCATCGACCAATTATTGTCATACCAATTATTCATTTGCACAAAGCGTTAGGTACCTATCAAGAGCGTGTTCAAAACTGGCATTCCCTTTTTTAGTCAACTCACTGAAAGTGTTTTCTCAATAGATGCGGTTAGTAGATTCTGTGGGACAGAGGCACGAAGTGTGCGCTGTGCAGCTGCACTCCCCAGGGTGCCACCGTAACAGCTTGCACCTCCCTGACTTAATTTAGCAGCACTAGCCAATACAGTAGAGCAGCCGAGAGCACCAATTAAATGAAGAGCCTATATATCACTGGGCGACGTCAGCCCGCCGGCTGACGTCTGATGGCCAAAACATTACCTTCAAAGGTCGGAGCTCAAAAACCGTAGCGGCGCAGCAATTACAGAGCGTCTTGAGCGCCTATTTCCTGACAGGAAAAATTTCCGCTACGCTGTGTAATCCACGAACACAGATTCATCTGCCGTCGCTCCATCATTGATCAATGATCATTGGAATCATGAAAAACCTTGAGCGTTCACCGGCACTGGACTTGTGCAGTTATTCGCAGGTTCACCGTCCCGCCATGACGGTGTCTATCCCGATACGACTGCATAATCCACCGGAACCCAATGCTTCTGATCAGAATAAGCGAAAATTGGGACACTCATCTGGGAACTAAACAATCCCGTGCTATGTCGAGCGTCGGCATATTACAGAAGTTAGCTGCTAAGTTGTTGCGTCCAAGTCACACGATGCGTGAATTGTCGGAAATCGTGAAAACTTCCTTACAGCACCAGGCAGCCTCAAGGATCCAGGGACACACCATCCAAGAGCGAGCCGAGTTACATACTGTTGAAGCACTTCGTCAGTCCCAGACGCCGTTTGGACGCCGTAGTGCAAGCACTCTTCTTTAACGTTGCCAAAATATGAAAAATAAAATCTGTACAACGATAAAGTACGGAGAGAGAGAGAGAGAGAGAGAGAGAGAGAGAGAGAGAGAGAGAGAGAGAGAGAGAGAGAGAGAGAGAGAGAGAGAGAGGGAGAGAGAGAGAGAGAGAGAGAGAGAGAGAGAGAGAGAGAGAGAGAGAGAGAGAGAGAGAGAGAGAGAGAGAGAGAGAGAGAGAGAGATTTTCAACCCCGGTAGGAAACAAATGGGCATCAACACAAGAACAACTACTTTAACTGGTCGTGGACGTCAGAAAAAAGGCTACGGAAAGGTAAGGATGAAGCCTGTTGCAGTCATAAAGACCTATAAATAGACGGCGACCGGCGCCGGTCGATGTCGGAGATATTTTCAACCCCGGTAGGAAACAACTGGGCATCAACACAAGAACAACTATGTACTTTAACTGGTCGTGGACGTCAGAAAAAAAGGCTACGGAAAGGTAAGGAAGAAGCCTGTTGCAGTCATAAAGACCTATAAATAGACGGCGACCGGCGCCGGTCGATGTCGGACTCGGAGTCCGATCCCCCAGTCCCAGTGAGTTGGGACAGTCGAGAGACCGCAGCGATCGCCCGCTAGCTGGACTCCAATGCCGATGGATGCTGACGCTGATCTGAGTGATACGACAGCTCAGCAGCCCGCCTAACCGATCATTAATGCAATCAAAACCGAGCTCGCTTTGAGGATAGTTAAGACTCCAAGCAGATGCTAAGCCAGGAAGGCCAACTGCAGTTATTTTCAGCCGTATAAATCACCGCATTCACCCAACCGGAAACAGAAAAGCACATAAAAACCCCAAAGCCGTTCGACTGAAAACGACAGCCAGCCTATCAGGTGCCGTTGAAGCGCCATTCAAAAGTTCGTCCGGTGGGGAGAATGGCGACATTTCCAGGCAATGTCGGCGCTAAAGGGCACTTTCAGACGGTGATGGACGCGGCACTGCTCGGCATGACGCGTGGGCCAGCGCCGGGACCGCCAGCGGAGAGTGCGGCGGAAAACTTCCCGCCCCGACACCAACTTGGCACCCGGATCACTCGCCCGGGTCGGAGGCCCTGCACCGACCAGTGTATTGTCACACCCCGGGGCGCGGGGCCATTCTCGGCGCCCCACGAGCGATGCCGCTCATTGATCGCCACCGGCGCTCTCCCACGGAGTTCGCAACGAGCGCAGTTCGTGTCCGGAGCGTGAACAGACGGCCGGCACGGTCACGGCTGGGAGTCTGAAATGCACCACCTACCCCGGCTATCGATCGGCTATCGGACTCAACTGGCCGGCATTCGCACGTCGGCCGCCGGCGGACTGAACCGTTCACGCGTCGGCGTCTGCACTCTGCAACCGACACATAGCGCACATTTCATACTGCCGCCGGGGTCAGGTGGCGATTGCACAAAAATACACGGGCACTTCACTATGCCAACAACCAGCCCGAGCATACAGGATATGGCGTTAAAAATAAGAAGCTTACTGAAATCCTAATGAAGCTCGGTTTAGCACAAAATTCGGCAGCTTCCGTTATGGGAATCCTGACAAAATTAGGCTGTTCCGTAGAACACTGTTGCACCGCGGGCTAGCCTAACCTCCAGGGTTCTGTGATTTAGTTACGGGCCGGGAGAGTCTGACAGCGGCTCTGAATGTTTGCCTTTGTCCGCTGGACGGCCTATTCGATCACGGAACAATTGCTTAAAGAAATGATATGTTCGTTAACGGGCTAGCGCCGGACAGCGGCGAGACGGTCCTCCGAATAGCCGCGCCGCCGCCCGGGGCGGCCCCGCCGGCGGCGCGGCCCTCTCGGACGGGACGGGAGGGGACGGGAGACGCTTCCCCAGTGCGTGGGCGCTCGGCGCGCGCGGCGGAGGCGCGCTCCCGCGCGCCGAGAGGAGCGCCCGTCGGGTTCGATTTTTTGTAGTGTCTGCCTCCGTGGGATAAGCACGCCGCTACGTTCCTGCGATCTACATCGGCACCGGTGACGTACCCTCTGGCCATGTATATGGCGGCACCCTGCAGTGTCATAAGTGTTTGTCTCCGTCTCTCTGGCCTCTGTAGCCGCCTCGCCCATGGGGTACACTGCCGGAGGCCGAGACGTGAC